TCGTGGGCCTGACGAGATGGGAGTGCGGTGGGTGGGGTGGAGAAACGGGTAAGTCCCAGCGCCAGCGAGGGGTGCGGGGTCAGGGGGCGACGATAGGCCGACTGGCAGAGCCTTCGAAATGAAGGGGGGCGGGGTGGGGAGCAAGACCTGCTGACAGTCCTTCCCCCTGAAGCCAACGGGGAGACTGGGCCTAGAAAGGGGATAGGCCTTACCCATATGCCACAGCGCAGAAAGGAGACTAGAACCCAAGGTGCCCCCTTCCCACGGGGCCTCGCCTCAGCCTTGGTAGGACCACCTGGCCCTGAGAATCTTCCTGTCCCTGAGCTGAAGTCCTCTATTGCCCTCAGGCAGGCTTTCCCAGGAGGCGCTGGCTCTTCCGGTGAATGCTGGACAGACACCCGGTCCATGCCCGCTTCTCACTCCACAGCAGCTCCCAGGTCAGCTTCCGCTTGGCCTCCACCTTCTGTGGATCTGTCTCATCCTGAGGCTGCGACAGATGCCATCATTATTTCCATTTTACAGAAGAAACGGAGGCGTAGAGAAGCTGGGGGATTTGCCTAGGGCCGCAGAGCGGGCCGAGCCTGGGCATACGAGCACCCAGACCAAGCCCTCCCAGGTGGAAGTACTAGAGGGAGAAGGGGGGTCGCAGGGGATATCATGTCCCTGGAGGCCCCATGTGCACCCACACAAGGGTCTCAGAGAGGCCCCTACGCAAGAGACTTAGAGGATGCCAATGCCCTGCCTACAGTCACACAGACCAGGTAGAGGTGATGCTGGGAGGTAGTAAGAGGTTAGAGGTCAGTGTGGGAGCTGGAGTTGGGGAGGAAGGCAGATGTGGACCCCAAATGTCAGCTCAAGAGAAAGCAGACAAATCCCAACCTGGAGAGAATTCTGCCCCCACAATGGGGCTTACTCAGTCCTTAGCCTGGTATCAGGTATTTTCTCCAGGCTAATTTCAGCCAAAAAGAGAATTCCACCCCCTATCTCCTAAAATACGCAAATGTTTTACCAAGTGAAAGCACCTGGCTTACTTCTGTGTCCCCCTATGTTTATTTTTTCACCCTCTCGTGTCCCCATCTTCACAATGGAGTTTGGACAAGGATCTGACTGAAAAAGTCCTGGGTGACAGTGGATCTGATTAAAAGGCGACAGTGCAGTAATGTCTGGGCTGTATGAAGCTCAATGCTGCCCCCTGCTGCCCAGACTGTTACAGCCAGTAAGCCGCAGGGAAAGGAGGCAGGAGGCACTTGAGTTAAAAAAATAAATAAAACCTCTCTGCCCGGCTCCCCGCTACCCCACCATCTCTGAACCTTTTAGACCTCCTTCTAAAGGGGAGGAAGAACAGCAGGAGCCCTGCTCACTGAGTGAGGGTAAGCCCGAGGCTCCTCCAGCAGAGGCCTCAGACTCTGTGGTAAAGCCTGGAGAGGGATGGAGGCCATAGTGAAAGCAGCAGGAGCTCAGTCCACCCTGCACCTGGACACCCCAGATGGTTTCTTCTATTTTAAGTGGAGTCAGGGCTGCCCTTCTAGTGTGGCTCCTGGGGTCTTCAACTTGGTTAATTAAACTCAGGCCTTTTTCTGCCTGAAATTCCACCATTTGTGTTCAGAGGAGGTCTTCAACAAATGTAGGATGGATGGATGGACTCAATCCCTTTGCACTGAGATATTATCTCCAGAAGGTTTGTGCTGTTAAGCACAAGGGGCGATGAGTTCACTGGTTTTCCTAGTTGACTGGAAGTGGAACTACCGTATTTGCCGGCGTATAAGACGACTGGGCGTATAAGACGACCCCCTAACATTTCCACTCAAAATACAGAGTTTGTTATATACTCGCCATATAAGACTACCCCCTCTTCCGCACACCTTCCACACACCAAATAAAAGGTAAAACAATATCAGATTTGATTTTAACATTTTAATTTATATTCAAATGCTTATGACATGCAGGAAAACTGTCACAAGGCTGTATGTAATCAAACATATACATAAAACAGTGCAAGTTTATTACCGGTAAACATACCGGTAATTCACTAAAGAAAACACACTCTATAGACTGGTACCGTAGATGCTTCTCAGGAACACAGGCAAGCAGCCCACAACCTAGAGGGACTGTCAATGATAGAAGTAAGATAACAAATAGAGGTAGAGAGCAAGTGCCGGTCAAGTCCCTAGCAAGTTTGCTGGCGTGACAGTTTCACCTTAAAAGCCTTCAAACTCCTCTTCATCATCTGATATTAAAA